GGTGGGCTTAAGAGATTTAAGATAATAAGATACCAAGTACCAAGGTATATTTGTGGTGCTTCAAAATCGGACAACTTTCTGGACTTTTATTGGCTCCTAGAATGTTGGGCTGCGTGCGATTTGGGTTTAGGCACAGAGACTCTTGGGGTGGGTTCCGTTTAGAAATTTGTGTCAATGAAAATAAAAAAATCAAAATTATCTCGAAATTATTTATTTTTGTTCAATTTACTTTCTCATTTGGTGTGTGGGATATTTATTGTTTTTATTCCCAACAAACCTCAGATCCTCTCAAAACAACAATCACACAACTCGCGACTTTCCATTCCGTAGTTGTTGGCTTTTTTATTTTTCTCCGGTTCTACTCTAGTTGGCCATGGTTACTCCCAAAATGGATAAAGCTACTTGTACCCCAAGTTTTTATACCCTACCCCGTAGGTTTGCACCAACAGTTTGTGTTGGTATAAAACTAATTTTTGTTAGCGCACCAACAGTATGTGTCCGTGCATATTTTTATTAACGCACCAACATTTGTGTCGGTGTAAACCATCAAAATGTTTGTGTATAACTGCGGTGTACAATGGGGTACAATTTTTGGTGTAAGTGTAGCATGGCCCCTCCGAAAATTCCTCCCAAATTAAAGTAGTCTGTCATTTCCGACCATTCTAAACCTGGGCTTCGCAGATACTCTCACCGTAACCCCGCATTAGTATGATATTTTTCATGTGAAATTTGCACTGAATACGACTAAAACATAAGTCATTTTTCAATATAGTACTTAAACTTTTTTATTCCCTAAATAGGACTTAATAATGACTAGTGAGAAGAATAATGTCCAAGTGATGTTGGACATTTAGTTGAATAATAACTAATAGATAATGACCAATGATCCTACATTGGAAAATAAAAACATATAGTCCTATATTAAGAAAGTCATTATGTTTTAGTCCTATTTAGGTAAATTACACATTTTTCATTTTACACATAGCCCTCAAGAATTTTTTTTTGGACATTTACCTAAAGGTTTTATTCTAGTGAGTTGGTTAAACTTACTTATTTTGGTTAAACTTACTTTTTCCATTTGGTGGTTTGTACTGGGAACAATTACACCCTTCGAACCATGTGTAAGACTTTGAGTTTTACAGTAAATTTTTTTATTTATGGAATATAAATTACTCCGTAGTTCAGAAATAAAAATAATACTCCCTCCGTCTCTGAAAATTTTTCTCATTTCTTTTTTCATCCGTCCCTGAAAACCTTTCTTTTTTCTATTAAAAAGTCACTTTTACCCTTACTTTTTCACACCCTACCTATGATATCATGCCTTTTTACTAATAATCTACCCATCAAATCCTATTTTTACACATCACATCAAAAGACATTTTTGGAAATTCAATACCAAAATACACTCCCCTTAAATCTCTTCAAAATTAAAACATCTCATGTTTAAAGGGACGGAGAGAATAAGAAATAGAAATTATATTACTTCCTTCGTCCTATAAAATTTTTCATATTTCAAAAAAGCACGCTTTTAAAATGAGTAATTCTGGTGTTATCCTACTATATATAAAAAGAAAATAAAATAGATTATGTTGTTTCCCGCCCATATTGAGTAGCTCCGGTCCAAAACTTGAAGAACAATTCATATAGATACATAGATTCACAACAATCCAAATAACCTAATAGCTACAATAATTCATACTCCCCGTATACATATATTCACATGGTATATGTCTAAGGAAGGGTATTCCCTTTTCCTCATTCAATGCATATTATCCACTTCAAGAATGGTGCATATCTTGTGCTATCATATGCATATTTGTTCTTCTATAAGGCCCCGTTTGGTACATGGAATTCAAATCATGGAATTGGAATTGAGGGCTTCAAATCCAATTCTGGTGTTTGGTAGCTCAAAAATTATGTGAATTTGGAATTGATAGTGTAAAAAATGAATTAGAATTGGCAGAATTCAATTCTATAGAATTGAATCCCATGGAATTTCAATTCCAATTCAATTCTAATTCCGTCAATTCTACATACCAAACGGACCCTAACTGTTATCAATTTTTTTACAAGAATAGAATCCATTGTTGGCTTAAAAAAACTATAAAACCAAGAAGTATGATGAGAATCGGTGTTTTTGATATTTTAAATCTTCTAATTGTAACATGTTCTCAATTTTAAAGGAATTTGACTATGGAATAAATTTGTCTAAAATACCCTAACTGAAAACTGGACATGGCAAGGAATTAAGAGATGGAGGGATGATTATTGTGAAAATTAGCTTTAGTTTCAATACTCCGTAAGTTGTAATGTTGGCCTCAACATACTTAATACATTCAGTGAAAATCATTACTTCGTAGTTTGTAGTACACCCTATTTTTATTTAGTGTAGTGTGCCATGTGTTTAAGAATAAACTCTTTATCAATAAGAGATTTAAGTATATTTCAAAAAGTTATAATTTTAATTTTAAAATTTATATTTTTTTAAAACTAATACAGAGTAAATAATTAATAAGGATTGTTTTAAAATTCTTTTCGGACATCATTTTCCAAGATAGGGTAAAATATGTCTTCAAACACTATAAAATAGGTGAGTTTTATATAAAATATGACTTCTTCCGATAAATATTGGTAAACTTAAATTTCAAATTAAATAAAAATAGTATTAGATATTTGGACAAAAATATTTTTATTAGATATATTACATCAAATGTTTTCAAAAATATTATTTTATCAAATTAATATACAATATATATTTTATTTAATTATAGGTCAAAGATTGAAAATGATTAAGTGGAAAAAGTAAAAACTGGACAGATATTCAGGAAAGAAGATAGTATATATTGCAATATAAATTTATTTTAATATTGACATTAAAAGGTTTTAAGGAACTTGCTCACACACTCTTAAATTTCTAATGTTGTAAATTAAAGAGTTTGCTTAAGATGTATATATGATCGTAAGCAATCAATAAACACGACAAATTTATGTCCGTGCATTGCACGGGGATGAATCTAGTTTTTTAATTATGACTCATCTATTCTACACATCTCATCACACTATATTATAAAGTAATAACAAAATTAGAAAATAACACCAAAATTACTCATTTTAAGAGTGCGTCTTTTTTCAAATAGGAAAGATTTTATGGGACGAAGACAATATTTAATTAAGGAATTAAGAAAATCAAAATATGAAAGAATGTTTTATACTTTTATTTGTGTCTCAGTTTTTTTCTTTTAATTAAGGGTTTTTTTTTAAAATACCAATTGTCCTTTTTTCGTGCACAGAATTCAATCACATTCTATTATTTACTCCATCTTAATACGGAGTATTAATATTTGTATTGGATCAATAATGAAATTTTATTTCAGGATAAAGAGAATAAATATTTAATAAATTAAAAGTAATCCTCCATTTTCTAACGCTATCATCATTTTTTGTGTTGGTAAATTTTTTTCAAAGTCAAAAAATAACTGTATGGAGTTGAAAATTCTCAAAACCATCTTCCGTACATGACGCACGCAGTGAGCAAAACTACGATTCCTCATTAATCATTTTAGGGTGCGTTTGGAAAGACTTTCAATGTTTTATAAAAAATTATCCAACGATAATATATTTAGCCGTAGCATTTTCAAAAAGAGTTGTACACCGTTTACCCCCAAATTCTTTGAAAATTGCATGGTTTACTCTCGAACATTAAAAAGTGCACCAAATACTCCTGAATTTTTCAGAAATTGCACGGTTTATCTCTGAACAATAAAAATTGCACCAAATACCCCTGAACTTTTCAAAAATTATAGCATTTACTCCTGAACATTTAAATAAAGATGACAATTTTGGGTAAAGGTAATTTGAAAAATTCACAAGGGTCAGATGAATCATATTCACAATTCTTGTGCGTGAAAGCAACGCTCTCCTTATCTAATAGTTTAGGACCAACGATGCAACGTTCTAATTTGTTCAAGGGTATTTGGTGCATTTTTTAGTGTGCTGGGGTAAATCGTGCAATTTTCGAAGAGTTCAAGGGCAATCGGTGCACTTTTTAAAGTTCAGGGGAAAAAACATGCAATTTTTAAAGAGTACGGGGTAAACGGTGCACGTAACTCATTTTCGAAAATAATCTATAAATGTATGATAAATAGCATTATCATACAAACAATAAAAAGTGTTGATTTTCATGGGGTCTCATTTGGCTACCAAGAAAACTCAACATCATACATATAACCTCATAACTAGGATGTGATTTATCATGTGCAATGAATCTATGAAGAGCTTGATCAACCTCAACCAAGCTAAAACCAGGACACTTCCTCACCCCCACCCTCTCCATCCTTTGTCTTGTGCTTTTGGCTTCGCCCCACCGTTGATCGGTGGCATAAACATTCGCCAAGCCCACGTACCTACCATCATGGTTCGGGTCCATCTCAACGAGCCTTCTCCCGACCATTTTCGCGAGCTCTAGCTTCCCGTGGTTCATACACCCATTCATTAGTGCCCCCAACATGGAAGGCGTTGGCTCTATGGGCATTTGGCATAGGAAATGGTACGCTTCCGTTGTTTGACCGGCGCGGGCCATAACGTCCACCATGCAAGCGAAGTGCTCAATCTTGGGAACCATGCCTTGTTCCTTGAGGCACTCAAAGAAGTGCCAAGCTTCGCTTACTAGCCCGCCGTGTGCACAAGCGTGCAATAGGCTCAGATACGTTATCTCGTCTGGCCTGATTTGATTGCTCGATTTCATTTCTTTGAACAAATCAAGTGACTCTTTGACCAATCCGTGCGTCGCGAGCCCTCGGATCATGGCGTTCCAAAGAAGAACGTCGGAGGTTTCGACAGGAACGCGACGAAACATGTCGAACGCCTCATTGATTGCCCCGCATTTGGCATACATGTCGACGAGGGAGGTGCGTAGGATGATTGTCAATGGCAAGTTGTTGTCGACCACACATTGGTGCAACGTTCTTCCTTTGTCAAGCGCGCCTAGGTGAGAACAAGCACACAACACACTCACCATGGTGACCTCGTTCGGCTTCACGCCGGAGCGACCCATTTGATCAAAAACAGCCATAGCACCTCGGTAATCCCCGTTCTTGACGTACCCATCAATCAAACAGCTCCAGGACAAGACATCTCTCCGCGGCATTGAATCAAACAGCTGGCGTGCCGATCCCAGCTCCCCACATTTCGCATACCCATCCACCATGGAATTCCAAGAAACCGGATTCTTCAGAGGCATTCCGTCGAACACCTTCCGGGCAAGCACAAAATCTCCAAATGAAGCGTACATATGAATCAAAGAATTCGAAACAAACCCATCAACCTCAAACCCATTCCTCACAATTTGCCCATGAACAGAGCAGCCCAATTCCGGATTCATAAGGCGAGAGCAGGCCTTCGCAAGAAATGGGTAGGTCAAGTAGTCAGGAAAAGCTCCAGATCTCAACATTCTGATGAAAACGGAGACGGACCCGTTGGGGTTTCTGCTCTTGGAGTACCCTCTGATGACTGCGTTCCAGTGGAAGATTCTTGGGGTGACGAGGGAGAACAGGACGCGGGAGGAGTAATTGGGGTCTCCGGAGTCAGAAACCGCAGAGAAAGAGAGGATTTTGGAGACGATGAGGCTGTCTTGAGAGAGGCCGGAGGCGATGACGAGTCCATGAATCTGGTTTAGATCTCGCATCGACTTGCAGTGGTCGAGGATGGAGCTCAAAATGGAATTCCGTCGGAGAAGAAGAGACGCCGGAGATGATGATCCGTTCAGCATTCGGGACAGTTTACAAGTTTGAAGAAAAGAAGATGCAGTTCATAAACTGCCATGGAAAAACTAAAAATTTGAGGGCAAAAAAAAAAAACTCCGCTGCCGGGGTTCGAACCTGGAGATGATTCCAAAGCATTAAGATTTTCTAATAAGCCTATGCTACAGCGGAAACAATTGATACCTGTCCAGCCTACCTTTTATTAGTACTCTAATTTATTACTGTGGAGCTGGAAATCCAAATTGTTAAATCGTAATAAGAGCAAATCTATGACATATAGTTAAACTTAAATTATACTCGGTATACACAACTAGTTTTTTGACCCGTGCCATGCACGGGTTATATAAAACTTTTATCAATTCAAAATGTTTTTCAATGAAATTTACTTTGTGGAATAAAGAAAATATATTTCTAACATGATTTTTAATACTACAGATAAAAAAATTCCAAAGTAGAATAAATAACATTTGACAAATTGAACGTCCACTCAACAATGTTTATTTAATATCAAATTTTCTGAAAGACTCAAGGGCATACAACATTTTTTGTATGATTTCAAGAGTTTCCATTGTCATGCAAAACTAATATTTTTAATCTTGTTGTTGTCTTCACTCGTAAAACAGCAACATAAAGTTGACCATGTGCAAACACCGACTTGGTTAAAAAGAATCCCACAAACGACAATGTCTGACCTTGACTTTTGTTGATAGTCATGTTAGAATATAAATAACTGTTCCCGGGCCATAACCACAAGCTTGAGCTTTTGGTTGAGTTGGTTTCTTGAAATGGTTTCAGAGCCTCATTGGCTAAGAGGTCACGGGTTCGAAACTCAGCGCCACCTAGTTTTAAAAAATTAAGGTTTCACGTCCAAGGCTCGAAAAAGACTACGCCTGCACGTGAGGGGGCATGTTAGAATATAAATAACTGTTCCCGGGCCACAACCACAAGATTGAGCTTTTGGTTGAGTTGGTTCCTTGACAAGCCATAGCAAAACATAAGACAATCGAGAATTTTCTTCTTTTGAACTTCAAGGGTAGTTCTGGATCAGATGGTATCAAATGCATTCGAGGGATGTAAACCTTTTTCCCAAATCGATTTCCCGAAACCACAATTGCACCGATTCGATAACATTATTTTGTAGCTCTTGAAAGATTAATCTTGTCTCATTACACAATCCAAATGTTTGGTCAATGTTTCTCAAAAGCACAATCGGTACCCTCTTTTTTCAAAACTATTTTGTGGGTTGGGATTCTCGAACATTTGATTTCATTCAAAAACTCCACTTTATCCAATGTGGAGTGTAAACTGAAATTTCGCGATCAACACCTACATCTGCTCAATGTGGAGCTTAAACTGAAATTTCCTCACCGCAGCATAGACGACGGAGATGATGCATTCAACACTCATGACAATTAAAAAAAGTTGGGCTACTTCACGAAGTCTGGTTCTTGAATCATGACGACGATGATGATGGTCGGAGGCAAGTTTGAAGAAAAGAAGAGACAATACCTTTTAAAAAAATTAGGGTGGCAGAAAAAATAAATCAGCTGCCGGGGTTCGAACCCGGATATGATTCCTGAATGATTTGGTTCATTTAGCCTGTGCTGCAGCAAAACTCGTTGGTGTTGATCTGTTGTACCATTAATTTGTAGAAAATCTAATTACATTAGAGCTGGCAATTAAAGCCGTTTAAGACCATTTGGTGAGGCCAATGGATGCACTTCTATTATTTTATCCTAATCAAGTTCATTTATTACATGTTTTTTTTTTACTCTAAATAATAAGATCAAAGCATTTCCAAGACATATTCTTAAATTTACATTATATACCATTTAGTATCAATTTTTTTACACTCCAATGGAGAGTGTAAAGAAGTGGTAAAAGACCAGTAGGATAAGAGTCTGGTATATTTACCGCATGGGCGGCCCAAGGGTGTGCAAAGTGTGCACCCGGCCGCCCAAGCCTCTCAAATTTTTAGGACCCAATATTATTGTTAGATATTTCTCATTCTAATTACTTGATATGTTTAAATTTTATTTTTTGAATGTATAAATTTATATTTTAATAGTCAAAGTGTCATAAAAGTGGTTATTAAAAAATCAAATATAGCTCTTATTTTAAAAAACAAGTACTCCACACAAAACAATATCGGGTCCAACACATGAATTGTGCACATTGTCAATCTTATTTTTTCACATTTCCAGGTCAGCTTGAATTTCAATTCATAGCCTCGATACCCATTTCCTCAAGACATTTAAGAAATTATGGTGCCCATTTTCTCAACACATTTGCTTTAGCCTTACACCCCCTTGTTCAACGGATGCAGAAATCTTGTTCCCTCCCTTTTCAGGCTTGCATGGTACCTAGACGATGGTACATTAATTGGTAACACAACTGAGGTTGCCAAAGCCCTAAATATTACATTATTCAGACGGAGGGCTATATCGTCTAATGATCCCGCTGTGTGTCATAAAGTCGTCTTGGAAAAGTTTGGGGAACTTGCAATGCACTGTAAAGAGCTCTCCGGGTTTAAGTACCGACACGACTTGGTGCGGGATGTGTTGTTTGATGTTCTTTGGAGAGCGGAGATTTTGGCGAAAAAGGAAGCTTTGGTTAATTTTCTTACAGACCCTGCTGAGGGGAGGTCCTCCCTGCGTCCCGCTTACGTTTTAGTTTTTGGATGGGTAGGGGGAAACATGTTTGTGTGGAACTCACTGGTGTGTCCCCCCTTGTGGATCTTCGGGATATTAATTTTACGGCTGAGCAGGCTATTTTAAAGGCTGAGATGAAGAAAGTGGAAAAACATGATAAAGCCTGCTCCGAGAATCAACACGTGTTTGTTCCCTTTGCATTTGACGTTTTTGGTTCCTTAGCACCTGAAGTTGTGTGTTTCTTGGATCGGATTGGTAAGGTTGTTCGCAACAATGTATCTGCTCCAAATGGTCATGAATATAGCTTCAATAGAATAGGGTTTGTTATCCAGAAAGGGGTGGCGGCGCAGCTTATTGCCCACACTTACCTACCACCTTGATATAAATCCATCAAATTAGCTGAAAAAAATAACCATAAAAAACTTGTAACCAAAACTTAGGCCTTGTTTGAAAACAATATTTTCAATTAGCATTTTGACTAATGTGAAGAAGTAATCCTAGAAAAAGGAAAAAGTCTTGAACCCAAAATAACTTGAAACACCAAACTGATAAAATCATCCATAAACTTGAGGTATTGAGTGGCGGCATACAAAACCCGTGTCGTTCCAGCGACACCTTGAAATGCATGTCTTCAAGTGATAATCGATTCAAAGCCGGGGTAGCATTTTAACGCCGGAGTATTTTAGAAACTTAATCAAAGCCGTTGATCAAATATGAATTTTTGATGGAGGGCTGAGATGCACTAGATGTTTGGGTGGGAAAAAAGGGACCCGTTGAATTCCCCTTACTCCCTCCGTCCTTAAAGATTGACACAGTTTGACTTTTTTGGTCAAATTACGACATCCTTTGATCATGAATTTTAGAAAAGTATATTTAGTTATGATGCAAATTTAGTAAAATTCGGCTTATATATAAAATAGTTTTGAAATAATTTTTTAATAATATTTATTTATTTTAAACTATATTTAATTCGTGGTCAAAGGTTACCATATTTTGACCAAAAAAATTTAATTGTTGTAATCTTTTATGAACGGATGTGTGTGATGTCCGTAAGAAGTCACCCTAAATAGGAGTGCATATTACTATACTTTCTGGCAATGTATATGGTCATATTTGGTAATGTAATGCATTTTAACTCCTATTTTGGGAATAAAAACATGAAATACATGAATATTCCAACATTGTATAATCATCATCAATATGCTCCTACAAAGTCAACATTTTTTATAATAATACTCCAAGATTATATATTGACCACGTACAAATAAGTCTCAAAAATTTGAGGGACCAATGCAAATAAAAAAATTCTCTTAAATTATTAACAGAATTATAAACTATTAAATTTCTTAGCTTGAAGCGTCGATAATAATTAGGAAAATTTATCTAAACAGTACTAAAACATTGTGACTTTCATTGTCTATTGGTCATTGTTCAATTAAATGCGCACCATCACTGGACATTATTCAAATTAAATGTCCACCATCACTGGACATTGTTCCTGCAACTAGACATTATTCAAATACTGTTTAACGAATTGAATAATGTGAAACGGCAGAATGGCAGCAACAATTCGGAAGAAAAATATATTCTGTGTTCTATGTTTGATATTACAAAGGTCTCCCCTTAATATAGGGGAGAAGTTTCCCAAAGCCTACTAGGAAAAGAACTCTGCTGGAGACTACAATCCTACTGCAACAAGTAAGTAAAACAATAAGTAAACTAAGACATTTTAGGACTCTAACACTGCCAGCCAGAAGCCTCCTTGCGCCCCACGTTTTCCATGCGTAACAAATAATAAAGCTTAAGTACTATATTAGAAAATGACATATGTTTTAATACTGTTTACTGCAAATTTCACTAATAATTATGCAATCTTGAGTTATTTATGTAAAATCTAAAATGTTTAAAAATGTTGGTATGCAATTTTTCCTCAATTCTAAACAATAATATTCCATATATTAGCTGCAAGGATAATGAAGAATCCGGCGAAGAATGCTCTCAACCCATTTGATCCACTGCAGCGGACATTGTGTTCGTGGTACGTACATACTCTTCCCGTCCTGAAATTTTTGTAATAATAAACACAATAATCTTTACGGCGGCGATTCCGATGACATTATCCGGTAATAATGTTATTGGATGACCCTGTGACGCTCCGGTGTCCCGTTCGTAAAAGAGAAAAACACTAAAGTAGGAGTATAACATTGAAAATATATCAAAATAGGAGTATAATATTTTTATTCTCGAAATAGGAGTTAAAATATATTTTCATTATCAAACATGGTCATGTACATACATTACCAAAAAAATATAGTAATATGCACATGTACAGTACCACATTACCAGCACATTACCACAGTGCAAACTCCTATTTCGAAAAAAATATAGAACTCCTATTTTAGTACTTTTTATATGTTTTTAGGGTGATTTCTATTTGTAAAATTGACTGTTTCTACCCCAGTAATCCTCTACCGCGCCCCGAACACACCCTCACCCTCTTCAATTGCACCCCCAAGTTAATTTTGACTTTGGAGTCAATTTTGACTCCAAAGTCAAAATTAACTTGGGTGGTGCAATTGGAGGGGTGGGGAGGTTTACCGGGGGATAATGGGTTATGAATCGTCAATTTAACGAACGGGACACTGGGGCACTCCCGTGTCATCCCATGACCTGAGACATCTTATAAGCAATTTTGATTAGCTTAACAAGTAGATAGAAACATCCCCTTGGTTCCCATGACATTGGGAATCAATATCATGGGATGACCCGGGGTGCTCCAGTTCTCCGTTCGTAAAATTGACGGTTCCTACCCCCTAATCCCCGGTAAACCCCACACTCCCTTCAATTGCATCCTCCAAGTTAATTTTGACTTTAGAGTCAAATTAACATTCACTAAATTAGGTAATTTGCCTTTTCTTTGTTATAATTTCCAAAATTTGAAAAGGAAGTATAAGGAATTAAGAGACGTACTTGGAAGTGCAGAAAGAGACAACATAATCAGTCCCAGAGCAAGTGAAAATACTGGAAGGGTCATCATATGCATAACTATAAGCTTTAGGGCAAGCCTGCTTGAACCTCTTCGAGTAGTACGTCGGCTGACAAGTCGTCGGGTTTCCATAAATGCCCTTGCAGCAGTACTCGTCGGTGTCGAACACGTCGCACGCGCTCCGGCACGCGACCGTCTTCCCGCCGCCCGCCCTGACCGCGAGCTCCGACGGGCAGTTCGGGCGGAGGTCCGCGACGCACCCGGCCACGCTGCAGTTGCCCCGCCCGCCCAGCGGCCGCACCGTCACGGGGACGTTGAACCCGTCGACGAGGCTCACGTCGTAGAAGTCCGGGGACGCGAGGGTAAATTCGGCAAGCGTGACCGGGGTCGCGCCGGAGGCCCCGCACTTCAGGGACGTCCCGCAGCTGCCCGTCTGGCACGTGCCGTTGCCCGACTTGTCGAACCTGCACCCGGTTCGGGCCCAGATTCGGCCGCTCCATGCCACTGGAGCGGTGAAGACTAGCGACTGGCCGGGTTTCAGGGCGAACCCCCCGCCGTTGAAGCTCTGGCCGGGGGTCACCGCCGGCCATATAGTCTCTTTGCAGTTGTTTACCATTGTGAAAACTCTGGCACCCTCACATATTCTTACACCTTGAATGGTCAAAGCAACCAATTAAAAGTCTTCATAAGTAAACTATTCATCCGTTTGCTAAAAGAGTTCCCACTTTGATTTGGAGCAAAAATAAGGAAACGTTAAATTATAATTGACTTTCCAATTTTGCCCCCGATGTGAGGTAAAAGCAAGATGTGATGGATAGATTATTAGAAAAAAAGTATGATGTGATAGGTAGGGTATGAAAAAGTAAGGGTAAAAGTGGGTTCTTAATAGAAAGAGGAAGTGTTTTGTTAAAAGTGGAAAAAATGAAAGAGGAAGTGTTTTTGAGAACTGAGGGAGTAGTAAATAATTTGTGAAACACAATAATTTGGTGAGAATGTAAAATGGATGGAGTGTATTTTAGTATAATTATCTATCAAAATAAGATTAAAACGTACTCCTTTCGTCCATAAAAGATTACCACATATTGATTTTTTGATCGAACTGTGGCATCCTTTGACCACGAATTAAACAGAATTTAAAATAATTAAATATTATAAAATTTTGATATTTTAAAATTAAACTACATTTTAAAATAAATCTAATTTTACTATATTCACATTAAACTAAATATACTTTTTATATATACTAAAAACCAATTTATATATATGTGAAATTTGCACCAAATAGGACTAAAACATAATGACTTTCCTAATCTATGACTTAAATGTTTTTATTCTCTAAATAGGACTTATTAATGTCTTAGTGGGAGGAATAATGTCCAGTAATTGATGGACATTTACTTAAATAATGACTAACTCATAATGACCAGAAGTCCTACATTAAGAAATAAAAACATATGGTCCTATATTGGAAAAGTCATTATGTTTTAGTCCTATTTAAGTAAATTACTCTTTATATATATGCTTTTATAAACTAAATATCGATGTAAACATCGTGAAACGCTTAAAAATTTGGGAGTGCGATTTTTGACCCTATTGATATTATAAATTTTATTTTGATACGGAGTATAAAAATATTGGAAATTCACGAATATGTTTTCAGCATAATAGGGTTTGCTATCCAGAAAGGGGTAGCGACGCAGCTTGTTGCCTGCTTACCTACTACCTTGATATAAATCCACGAATGATATAATTAGCAGAGAATAGGAGATTAATGGTTATAAAAAATAAAATACCTGATGATAATAACAAGGATAAAATAGTCAAGAAAATGGGGAGAGGATGAAATGATGATGGTGCACCCATTTTTGTAAGCAATAATTAAATTGGTTTGGGATTGAGAAACATAATATAATTAGAGAGAGATTAATATGCATGGATATATAATGCATGCATGGGAGGGGCCGGCGGGGGGAATACTTAGCTTGGCGTGGAGTTAAAGAAACCATAAATTCCCCAAATTATGCTAGTTTCCATCCTAAGCTTACAAGATTCCACATTCATTTCACCTCGGTTAAAAAACTTGTTTTTAAAATACCGTATTTAAGAATGTATAATTAAAATATGTTTTTTTTAAAAAAAAGATGCTGATTGCAAGTATTTACTCTGTCTCGTTTTAAATCGCTCGTTTTGACTTTTGGGCATATTTAAGAAAGAAAAGAATAAAGTTGAATTTTCGAAATTGTCATTACTTTTTAGGAGCGGTGACGATGAATGAGAAGATAAGGTGGAGAAGAGTGACTTATTTTAGGGGTAGTTTAAGTATTTTACTCTTAAAAATTTACGATAACAAAAAACAGATAACTTATTTTGGGACAGAAAAAAAGGAAAATAGGCAATTTAAAATGAGACAGATGGAGTAATATTTAAAACACTTGTAGTGCACCTACAATTTAATTTTATAATTTTCTATAATTTAATTTTTCTTGTTCAAAAATTAGAAATTTAACTTTGATCCATCACCTTCTTTCCCATGGTCATAGAATTATATAGGGGATAGACACCGAAAATGGGAGGGGACCCTGTCGTATCCTCTAGAAAGGGCACTCCGTCCTTTACAAAGGCAAGTTGGCTGTAATTTAGACCCTATATAGGCATCTTGTTTATTGCAAAAAAAAAATGTGCATAGTAGAGCAATATTACACATCTTATATTGTTTTTTTAATCCTTTCATATGTGTTTCTTAAGAACCAATTTAAGATGATGTCATATTATGACACTGAGACAAGATGTCAAAAATACCCTTGTGAACTTTGAAATGTGACAAACTTGAGTTGCAAAAGGATCACATACAAATCAAGGTGTTAGCAGATTTATTTATTAATTAATGCAAAGACTGCCAACATTTACAAATACATGCATACCCTCCCTCAACCCATACTTTAAATCCAACAAAAAAAACTTCATATTACAAAAACACAAGAAATCATAAAATTCCCAAACAAAACAAAAAAAAAACAACACAAATATCTAGTAAAAACTGAGGAAGTATATATATATATTCTAATGGCTCCCCCATTGAGGAAGTGTATTATATTACGGAGTATATATCTCTCTCCTAGTACCTAAAACCTCTGGCTTTTGCTGAATCCGACCAATGTTGGTTGGGGTTCTCAGTCCCAGGCACTGGCCACGCCGGCGCCGTTACCATACCCCCCGCCGTAACCGTTATTGCCGCCGGGATAGTAGTCCGAACCGCCGCCGCCGCCGCCCCTGCTGAAAGGCCCGTCCCTTCGGAAATCGCGGCCGCCGAAGCGGGCCCTGCCACGGCGGTTCTTGCCGCCGTGGGAGGACGACCTGGCGGCGAACCGGGAAAGCCAGGCGGGGACTTCCTGGTTCGCCTCCTGCATCAGGTCCGAGAGCGCCCGCGCAATGGACGAGTTCCCCTCGTTGAAGAAGGCGGTGGCGAGGCCGGTCTTCCCGGCGCGGCCGGTCCGCCCGATGCGGTGGACGTAGTCGTCGATGTCGTTCGGGAGGTCAAAGTTGACCACGTGCGCGACGTGAGGAATGTCGAGACCGCGCGCCGCCACGTCGGTGGCAACCAGAATCGGCGTCCTGCCGGTTTTGAAAGCTCTCAGGGCCTGTTCTCTTTCCTGAATGCCAAACATCATGAAAACAACTTCCAGGGTCAGCCATAGAAGGTTTATAAAAAAAACATGCAATGTGACTTTTGTGGTACATTCGAAGTTGAATGTATGTGGACATGCGTCATGTCTACATTCATTCATTTTTCAATGTACCAAGAAAGTCTTGGATAAAAAAAGTACGGAAGGTGTAACGAGTGAGAGAGCGATCAAAACCTGCTGTGTCCTATCGCCATGTATGGCTGTGGCAGGAAAACCGTTGATAGATAGCCAATGTTCTAGAGAATCGGCGCCTTTCTTTGTCTCCACAAAAACAAGGGTAAGGCATTGCTGCAGATTAATTGTGTAAAACACAATTATTGATTAAAAATGAACAACAATGGGTGTCATACTATGACACTCAAGCCATTTGATGCACCTACAGTGCTCCATTTGACCCCGAAGCGATTTCTACCCACCTATTCTACCCCTGCTCCCCGGGAGGGATTTGGGGGTTGTGGGGGGGGGGGGGTAGCATAACAGAGATCCCATGGGCTAAGGGGTTGTAGGAGAGGCAGGATTTGGACAAACAGAAGCATTGTAGGGCCCTCAAATGGCCCGGATGTCATATTATGACACCAACAAGCGGGGTCAAAGAATCCCGCCCGTCTGTAAAATGTTCAAGAAAATATAGGGTTGGCAATTAGTATTGTTTTCTAAAGGAGCATTACCTTGCCATTTGCCATTTGTGCAAGGAGGAGATCCATTAAATGGCTTCTTTTGTCAGTCTCTTGAACATATTCCACCCTCTGGACAATCAGATCAGTGCTTGATCCAACCCTTCCGACAGCCAAAAATATGTAATTCGCTAGAAAATCTACAGCCAATCTCTGCATTCAAATAAAGTCTCTGAAAAAAATAGCCACAACAAGAACAAGAAAACCAGAGCTGCGCGGCAAGATGAAAATCTATAAGCGAATAAAATGATCTGATCGTGAATATGTTTATATTGGTCTTGTTTTGCGATGTGCACATAGGACATGAGACTCGTTGATAATTAAATCTTTTCCACTCAAGGGCAATTTTGGAATCTCATCTCACTGCTCCAAAATGAGACAATTTATGATGACATGTTGTTCATGAGTTTATTGTGTTAACTAATTTCAAACAATCACTCCATCCGTACCAAAGAAGTCATGTTTCAAACACTTTTATCTTAAATATGATTCATCAAAGGAACTAATTTTAGTTTAGCTTGACCAAGTGACCAACAAATCAAAACAAACCAAAAAATGATACACCACGCCCCCCGGGACACCCCCTCCCCCCAATATGGATGGGCTCCACTTGAGTGTGGCAAGGAGTGTCTTCATGGGTGTGATTGTTCCATGATTTATGGCTATCAAAGCAAAAAAGAAAAAGGTGCACATTTGTCAAATAGAACCCTTATTACTTTTGAGGACAGAAGTATATATACTCCCTTCGTTCCTAAGTTCTTTTGGAATCAATTTATTTGAACATTGGTGTAAAATAAATTTTTTCTTACACATTTTAAGAGTGCTTCAAAAGTTCTTCAAAACAATAGGTGTCGTGATTATGCTATTCTAACAAATGATTAGAGTAAATAAGTAATGAAAGAAGATATCGTTTGACCACGCGAATAGTGAAAGTGAAGCTTTTATAGGGAGCAAATGGCAATACAAATTTCATGTGACTAGCCCAAAACTAGTTGGGGTTTAAAGGATGTCATAATGATAAAGATTAAGGCCCTGTTTGGGAAGAGAGTTTTCAATTAGCGTTAGCGATTAGGATAAAATTTTAATGGTGTAGATTAATTCTGAAAACGCTAAAGCTAAAGGCTTCCGTCGGATAGCCTTTTCAAAATGCTAACACTAATCTCTAACGCTGATGCCAAACGGGACCTAAGTGCACATAAAAGCATAAAATGATTGCAAGAAAAGAAAAAGAAAGAAAACCTGAATCTCTTTTGGGAAGGTAGCACTAAAGAGCATCGTCTGTCGTACACCAGGTGGGGGCATATCCGTCTGTTGCACAATTTTCCTAATTTGTGGTTCGAACCCCATGTCCAACATTCGGTCTGCTTCATCTAAAGCCAAGTACCTTATCATCTCTAAAGACACTCTTGCCCTCTCTAGCAAGTCCACTAGTCTCCCAGGGGTTGCTACAAGTATATCCACACCTCTCTCTAGTTCGCGAAGCTGTTAATATACATAGCATGAATGAAAATCAAATTTCATTAAAAATTTACATATACTTATATCCCTTAGTCTTAGTAAAATAGCTACTTCCAAGTATGGGTAAGGTCTGCCTACACAGTACACACACCCTCTCCACACCCTACTATTGAGTGATTTTAATGGGTTTGTTGTTGTTGTTGTTGTCTTTATAAAATAGAATTATATAAATAAAATGAGCTTGGAAAAACATCTAAATCTGATTTATTATGTTTCAACCAAATTTTTGCTTCCCCAATTTTTTTTATAAATTCCATCTAGTTTTCCCCTTATTTTCTACCCCTAGCATCTAAGAAACAACCTCTCTACTTCCGAATACGGATAAGGTCCGCGTACACACACCCTACCCAGACTCTAACTTTTGTGGGGTTTTACTGGGTTTGTTGTTGTTCTACCCCTAGTACATTTTCCATGATCCAAACAGACCCGACCCCTATGGGAAAATTTTCCTAAAACAGGCCCAAGAAAATGAAGTATGTACTCCCATGATTAAGGCAGACCCATCTATTTACAGTTTACACTAACCCTCCTAGATCTTTGTGGCATTTTTGGTAGCTGGGCAAAGGGCTCTATAACAATTAACAACATAAGGACATCAAAACGCCAAACACATTGCCAAGGAGAAGAGAAATAGCACCTGTTGATTTATGGGTGCTCCACCGTAGGCAACAACCACCCTGACTCCTGTTTGGTATGCAAACTTCCTGGCCTCTTCATGAATCTGCAAAGACCAAAACCAAATACATAAAAGAAGTCACATACGTATCTGCAGAATCTGGTTTCCAAACACCAAACAACAAGAAAACCCACTTGGCACGAGAGCTCCCTGGTTGGGGAAAGAATGAGAGCCAGAGGCAAAGCCGTGCGCGGCCTTGGGGGTCTTATAAACTGACCCCTCATGATTCCACTAATGATTGGGAAGCAAAAAGCCGCCGTCTTTCCAGAACCGGTCTGGGCACAAGCCATCAAATCCCTTCCTGACAGTACAATTGGGATCGCGTTGCGCTGCACCGGCGTGGGCTTCACATACTTGCACCTCCTGATGTTACTGTTCACTGCTTCCCCTAAATCAATCTCGGCAAACGTGTTCACGGGAGGAGGCACATTGTCCCCACTGGTCTCCACAGGAATGTCCTCGTAGGCATCAAAATTAATCCCAGAATTCTCATGCTCCTCAAAGGGCTGATTCGCATCATCCCCAAAGGGGTTAAACTCGCGCGGCTGACTCCCAGTTCTGGCATTCCAACCACCACCACCACCACCTCCATAGCCAGAACGGAAATCATTTCTAGGACCACCCCACCTGCTTCCACCACCACCTCCATACGGACCCCCATACGAAGCTGTTGCAGGTTTAGGGGGTTCTGATGAGGCCGGCAGTCTATTTCTCAGGTGTGGTGGAACATAGGTTCCCTTAGATTGAACGGACGGAGCTGGAGCAGAGTTCTCTGCCGCAGAAACAGAATCAGCCCAGGATGTAGGCATATTCAAAACCCAAACAAATTAAAATTTTTAAAAATAAACAAAAAAAAAAGAGATTTGCGTTCTTTCTCCCCTGCAAATTCCTCAAATTGAAAACAAACTACGGGCTTCTCTCGTTCCAGTTCTTGAATTCAAACACAGGTCCTCATTCCAGAATTTTCGTCAGCATCGAGGGAAATTCCAAACCAAAAGGCTTCACGTGAGAAGAAAGCCCTGAAACGAAAACATTCAGAATCACGGCAGAAGAAGGGAAAAAATGCAGATCCAGAAATGGACATCATAGTCAACCCGAATTCAAAACCCAGCAAGAATTGGATTCAAGCCAAGCAAGAATTGATAAAAACGAAAACCCACCACAAAGAATCAAGAAATGAACAAAGGGCAAGAGAATCGAACCGCAGATAATTGCATACACATGGGGTATGCGAGGTCGATGCAGGGAGAGATATGGTGAAAGATTGCGTGCGAAGAAACCCTAAAGGCTAAAGGTGCGATCTTTGGAGGAGGAGGGTGGGGAGGAGGCAAGAAAATATCTTTTGGAGTTTGGCGTTGTTTGTTCATATGGGATGATTATATGTATGCATTCTCTCTCTTTCTCTTTCTTTTTTCTCTTTTTTCTCTCTCTCTCTAAAACAGTGGGCTTTTCTTTTTTCTGTGATGAATGGAAATGTCTCTATATTTTCGCGTCTCCGCTAAATCAACCCAAAAGATGACTGCTGCGCCACGCTAGATTTTGGGCCCTTCTATTTCCTCTCTTTTTCCTCCCACGCAAAAATTCCCCACAAATGTCACCACCCGTCATTATTCGACAATTATAGTAAGGAGTACCACCTTAATCTTACAATAATTTGTTTTTGACTAAATTCTATAATTGGTCTTTTATAACAGGGTGTTTCCCTATTTAGTCCTCTATTATCAAATATTACCCAAGTGGTCCTTCTTTTATGGGTACCTTTCCACAAATAATCCTTTTTTTGATCTTCTATCATGTTGGTGTTAATTTGAGGGTTAAAAGTGTAATTTCACAATGATAATATATCTTTTTTGTCATACACAATTCCAAAGGCTGTTCCGTTTGCGTCATTTGTGAATTACAGTCACTTTTTATGACAACTAGTCTACAAATGTGATCTTTCGTCAGAATCCTAACCCACAATCATAGTCATTGTTTTTGTGTTATCCGCTTAACCAATATCAGAACACGTCACTAGACATAATGTTGACGTCAAATTATACTTTTAGCCTTTAAATTAACACCAACATGGCAGAAGATCAAAAAAAGACCATTTGTGGAAAGATACCCTCAAAAAAGGACTACATGGGTAATATTTGATAATAGAGAACTAAATATGGAAACCCCCCCTATTATAAAGGATCAATTATGGAATTTACTCTTTGTTTTTACAACAAAGGTTACAACAATGTTTTTAGGACACCTAGTCCTCGGTTTATAAAATTGATTGATCTTATCTTCTTTAATCTTCCTGATAAACTTCCAAACCCGGCCCCATTCATAGTGCACCCCGTTGAGTTAGATCACCTTTGATTTTGTTGACTTTGCAGTCAAATTTTTGACAGAAATAAAAACTGGAGCAATTGGAGGAGCTACGGGGGTGCGTTAGGGTTGAGAGTTTATAGGTGATAGGAACAATTAATTTTGCAAATGAAACACCGCAGGTGTTCCAAACGCATTGCTGTAACATTTATTGTAAGAAAATTGTTTTAAAATTAAGGGCCCACTCTGCGAGACATTAGTCTTGCAATAATTTTTTTTATAACATTTCTTACAACAATGCTGATGGATATATTACACCCAGTACCGGTCCAAGGGAAGGCTGATAAATATTTGACCGGTCAAGATTGAATTTCTTAAATGGGAAGCCTAAACGACAGAAGTTTATATTGGTCGATGTCAAAAGTTTAACCGGTATACCTGTAGTACTCTACCGGTCAAACTACGTGACTCCTCTTGTTCACCCCCAATCTCCATAAACTCATCCCTCGTAAACCTAACCAATTGATTTCTATGGTTGGGAAGTGTCGGCATGGAAGAATCCAAGGGAAGTTGGACTGTAGCGGCCAAATTCAACGAAAGATCACTGAAGATATTCAAGCAATCAGTCAAACACGTTACGCGACAAAGGAATCACCTTCCTCGCTAGATGACAATGGAATAAAGGAATGGAACAAGCCACCAAAAGACAGATACAATCACCTCGCGCCATCAAAGAACGTGGTCTGACGTGGGTGTTCGGCGCCTTGTTCCTTTAGTTTCCTATAAATACTCGTGTAACCCTCAAAGGAAGGGATCCGAATTCTACTGATTAAACCCTTGTGTAAAAACTCTTGTGTGCTCTATTATACTCCGTATTCAAATAACAATTGCGCTACAGGTGTTTCCACCTACAGTCCTCCCAGTTAATCTGTGTGTTTGTTACCTTTTACTTTCTTGAATGCAGTAAACAATCTTAAACCCGGTCTAATAGTGTTTACCCGGTTGGTTAATTTACACCATGAAATACAATTGAGACACATATGGTGCTCCGTTTGTAAGATTCTTTATTCCTAACCCCACTCAGCAAGTAAAATCCCCACACCCCGTCCCGACCATAACTCACCCTTGTGTCCCCTCTAATTGCACAATTTTTTGTTGTTTGTCATTAAAGAGTGTCGCTGTTTCCATGTTTCATAAAAAAGAGACAAAACAGAAAAACCTTTCGAAGACGGAGGGTACGAGTATAAAAATTATAGTGAGCAATTATTTTAAATTGAATAAAAATGAGTACTCCCTCCGTCCGGGAATTAACTTCCCACTTTGACTATTCCTTATTTTTAGTGGGTGTTGATTTTGACATTAAAATGTCTCAAATACCCTCTTATCTTTTTGTTATGCCCCAACACTATTCTACCCACACCCCAGCCCACTGCCAGTCCACAGCCGCCCCAGTCCATCGCCGCCGCAGCCCACCGCTGCCCTAGCCGCATCCGCCGCTCCACCATACACTCCTGCCCCAGCCCCCCACCACAATAAATAAAGAAAATAAAGAAAAACCTGAGGGAGGCGGAAAGAAGAAGAAGAAAAACCCACAGATCTACAGATCTACCTCCCACCGCCGCCGTCTGCTCTACTATTACCGTCAGCCGCACTGATCTAACACAAATCTAGAAGAAGAAGAAGAAGAAGAAGAAGAAGAAGA